GCTAGTAACTCCTTATTATAAATTTTATAGTTATATTTAGCTGGGCTTAGTCTTTTCAAGAAGTAAGTAATAGGATAAAGGACTCCTTCACTATCCTCTTATAATAGTACCCCTCCTAAGTAGTAGTTAGAGGAGTCTGCCTCTATTATATAGGGTAGCAAGGGGTTAAAGTATCATAAGATAGGTGCTATAATAAAGGCTGTCTTTAAATAGTTAAAGGCCTTCTAATAGGCAGTTATTTAGAGGAAGGGGATATCCTTTTAAGTAAGCTAGATAAGTAGAACAGCTAGTATTAAGAAATTATTAATAAAATAGCAGTAAAAGTTTATGAAGCCTAAAAACCTATAAATATCTTTAATATTCTGGGGGGCTTCCTAGTCCAGGATAGCAGAGACTTTCTTAGGATCTATTTTAATACTATTTATAGTTAGGATCAGGCCCAGGTATTTTACCTTCTATTAATAGAACTCACATTTATTAATATTAAGCTGGAGGCCTATAATCTCTAGTACCTTTAGCACCAGTTATACATGTTCCTTGTATTCCTTTAAACTATTACTATATATAAGGATATTATTAATATATACAGTATAAAAGGTATCTAGAAATAGGTATAGGATATTATTTATATAGTATTAGAATATATTAGGAATATTAGCTAAATTAAAAAATATTATTAAATACTTAAATAGGCTTTTATGAGTGCGGAAAGCCATTAAATACTTATAACCAGGTGCGATTCAGATTCAGTTAAAAGCTGAAATAATATTTAATTTTATAAAATATTTAGCTTTACTAAGATAGTTTAATATTTCTTAAATTAAAGGGATTAGATAGTAGTTTTTAATTATAATTTTATTAAGTTTTCAGTAGTTAACATAGAAGCAAAGGCCACCTCCTGGCTTCCTTATAAAGATTATTAGGGAAGATATAAGTGATAAACTAGATTAGATAAATCCTTTAGTGAGGTTTTTAGTTAGATACTTATATAGGGCCAGTAGTTCATGGTAGGATATTATATATAATAATCTATAGGTAGGTTTTACCTTAGGAATCAGCTTAATCCAATAATCATATAGGTAGTATTCTGGGAGTTTATCTGCTTTTTTATATAAGAATAATTCTAGGGAGTCCCAGTAGTTATATAGCAGTTTCATCTTCAGGTTAGTATATTTCTTATCTATAAAGGCCTTTTTAATATTAGTTAATAAGACTGCAAAAATTTCAGTATTATGCCTTCTTATAAGTTAGATAAAGGGGACTACTTTAATTATATAGATATCTATCATAGTATTAGAAGATAGATTCCCTTCCAAGTCTAGGTTATCTATAGGAAAGGGCTTATCTAGGGAGTTAGGAGCTTAGGCTATAAGCCATATTATCTATAGTTTATACTGCTAATCATATTATTATAGTAATATATTAGGGTGGTTTAGCAAAGCCCTCACTAGGGCCTTTTCAGGGGCAGTTAGGAGACTATCAGGTTTAGGTAATTCTAGTTATTATTTAACCATAAAGTGGTTACAGCATACCAGGGCTATAAACCATAACTTATTATATTTATAATCCATCTATATACAGTACTCATAGTTCCAGGGCTAGCCGAGAATAAAGTTATATTTACCTAAAATTATTAAGTAGAAAGTAATCACTTTATAATAATTATCAATAGTTATCTAGAGAGTTACTAAGTGGGTGACCCTTATAGAGACAGTTCAGGATCCATTAAAAGTATTTAAGTTAATATATCATTCTAATCTCATTTATCTTAGGCCATATCTATGCACGAAGTCACTACTTATAAACCCCTTTCTTATAATATCTAAATCTATTATTCTATAGGCGGTTACTAGCGTGGCGCCCTACCTTAGTCTGGCTAAGATAGTAATTCAGTATTTCCAGTTATTTAAAAGGCTTAGTTTAGTAAGGTTAACAAATAGCGATATAAGGTATGGTCCTAAAACATAACTTAATTCTAGGACCGTCCTTTTAATCAGTCAGACCCTCTAGATAAGATAGAGCTGGATTAGGAGTTATAGGCATAGCGGGGGTTATTATAATAGGTAAGGGAATAGGTATATAAGGAAATAATATTAATACTTTTAGAGTATTTAGGACTTTTAAGGTGGCTTAGGATAGGTATCTTGCAGCTAGGTAAGATATATTTATTAGAACTATACTTATAGTATAGCCCTTTTCTGCAGCAGTGCTCTTATTCAGCCGAGCCTACTAAAATATAGCCTAAAATATCCATATCTATTGTGTTAGGGTATTGGTAGGGCTGAATTAGTTATTTAAAGGCTGAGTAAGAATTATTATTAATAAAATATAATTACTTATTAATCCTAACTACTAGGTTTATATAATCTATTAGATATTTTAATTTAGGTTAAGTAATTATCAGGCGCTATAATTCAGGGCTAATAGCACCCTTTAGAAGCATATATTAAGCTCCTTCAGCAGCTCCTGCTTTACTTACCAAAGTCCTGAATTCAGTGAAAAATTTCCAAAAGGGGCGGCTCCCTTAATAGAGATTATGAAGCTTTAGTTCAGTATTAACTTATTTATTTAGGTCCCTATATTATTAGTTAAGCTAGATAATTAGTAATTATAGGGTTAGAAAATTATAGCTAAGGTAGCCTAGTATAACTACTGGTTCCTCTAAAATATAAGATTATATATAGGTTAGCTTAGCTAATTTACTAGGATAATAGTTAGAGTTATCTAAGAGTTTATTTATTAGAGTAGCCTTTTATTCCGCTAGCTGACTGTATCTACCTATAAACTTAGTAATATCTGGAAGTCTCTCTAATAATTATATTTAAGTAACTAGGGGTTCCTTCTATAGAGTAAGCCCAGAGCTATTTATAGACTTAGTAGGTATATCTATTTATTATTAGTTATTAGTATTAAGAGTAGTAAAAGCGATTTTAGGGGGGGAGCCAGGAGCTGACTTAAGGGTGGCTATCTCTTTACTTAGAGTGAGTACCACCTGATTCTATTATGCAAGAGCTTCTTATAGAGTGTAAATTTATATAGTTATCTATTCCTATATAGTATAGATAATTGCCTCTAGTTCCATCATTATAGCTAGTAAGGATAGTTAATATAATATAGTATTATAGAACTACTAGAAGTAATCTACTTAAGTTATTATATAAGGTAAACTAATAAGGCTATTAACTATTTATTTAGTTATACTATACTAAAGTATTATATAATAATTAAGATATTATATAAAAAAGGGAAGGCCTAAAAATAATTCTTATTAAGAATATAAAGGGGGCCTTATCATATCTTTCCTAATTAGGATTTAGGTGTGCGCGCGGTGAAATCGAATTAGGAAGTCAGTTTAGTTTAGGAGTCCAGTTGGCTAATATTAGGTAATATTAGGTTATGTTAGGTTATGTTAGCTGATGTCAGTACTGCTTTAATCAGACAGGCAACAGGATGGTGCCAATCACGTGTCATAGGGGTGACCCCATGACATTAGGAACCTTATAGGAATCTTAACTATCTTCTTAAGCTATAATATTTTTATAAAGCAAATCTATCTTATATAAAGCTACCTAGATTATTAATTTTTTAAGCTACTAGAAAGAGATTAAATTATTATTTAGCTTTTAAAGTTTATTATTTATCAGGCTACTATTACAGGCTCTTTCTTCTTCTTCTTCTTATTTAAGTTCTTTTATAAGATAGATTACCTTTTCTTTAGCTCTTTTCTTAGTGAAATTAAGAAGTACTTAATTATAGGATAAATAACTCTATATTTAAGATAAATAATATTATAGTTCAGCTATCTTAGTGCTAACCTTCTCTAAATACTTTAAGTCCTTACTTATTATAAATTTAGTCTTTTCTCTAGTCTTATTTAAAGATTCCTAGAATAGACCTATATAGGAAATCCCTTTATAAGTATAATTTATATATCTAGTTCCTTTTAAGGAAGATATAATAATATAAGTAATATAATTTCTAAAGTAGTTAAAATAAGCCTAAATTATAGGATTACCTAGGTTTTTAATTTCTAAAAATAGGTGTTTATGATGGGAAGAAGGAAAGGATACTATCTTTAAAGAAAAGAAAAGTAGAACCTTATTAATCTTTTAAGTACTAAAGTTTTGGATAAGCTTACTAAGGAGGGGAATAATATTATAAAGTAATAAGTTATATAATAAAAGTTAATCAGTTTAATTATAGGATAATTAGAATAATTAACTTATATTAGCCAGGAAGTGTTATTGGCTCTATAAGAACTTATAAATAAGATATATAGGAGTAATCATCTTGATCACAGAATAATCAGAGTAATTATTTATTTCTCATATCTATAAAAGAAGGAGGAATTCTCTTGATTAAAGGCTATGATTTAATTATCTAGTTTACTTAGTAATTAGTTTAAATATTTTTTTATACTCTTAAAGCTTATACTATTCTAAGTTATAAATATACCTATCTTATTATATTCCTTTTATAATAAGCTCTGGTTATACATTGTTCCTTTGCTCTAGGAAGCTAAACCCTTCCGAAGTGGCTTACATTAGTGAAGCTAGTCGGTACTGGGAAAGTATTCCTAACATATAGCTATACTTAGGCCATAGGTTATATACTTTAAGGGGAAGTAATATTTAAGCTATATATAATATCCACCTTAGTTTTACTCCTTAATCATCAGTTTTAATACTAATCCATACTTATTGCTCCCCATCCTGATATCATGCTTACATTCACCCCTTACATGGGGTCTAGACCCTATGCTGAACTTATTAACCTATCATATATCCATATTTTACGGATTTTCCAGCAGAGGGGCAAGAGGACATGTCGAGTTAGTTTTGAATATGAGAAGATGAATTGAATATCCAGTATCAAAAAGTAATTTCCGGGGTTCAAATCAGCTGGTCTAGAATCGGAGAATGATTCCCGCAACCACTATATTATAAGATTGAGGCTTGTCAAATAATCAGGTACTATAAGTTTCTATCTAATCAATCAAAATGTCTGCTAAACCATATTTGAAAATTTCATTGTTTATTAAAAAACTCCCACAGATCAGCGCAGAACAGTTTAGGGCACACTGGAAAGGTCAACATGTCGATATTGCAAAGGCAAACAAAACCTTTATGAAAAATGTACGGAAGTACAATCAAGTAGGTTGCATGTTTTGATTAAAGATCAAAATTGATTTTTCTTAGGTCCATATTCTCCCAGAGCTGAAAGAGTTAGCGAGGGCGTTTGGTCAGCCAACTATAGACGCCGACGGTGTTGCTGAGGTTTGGGTTGATAACCTGGATGCGTGGAAGGAGATCGCATCAGATGAGGAATTCATAACCAAAATCCTACGTAAGTATCTAGCTTTATATTTAAACCCACAACTAATATGTCAATAGCTGATGAGAAACTATTCTTACAACATCCAATCGCAATAATGCTTAGCCAAGACCATCTCGTCATTTCAGAGAAAGACTGAAAACTAGAGTTGTTTCGAGTCAATGGTCGTAAGCTGAGAGAATGCTTTCAAGTATTAACAAAATTCGACATTGTGCATTAAATGGAGAATACCTATCAAAGTAGTTTTTAGTAAGCGACTTGAGCTCGGGATGGGTCGCAATCCATTCTTTATTTTCCTCAATGCCTTTCATAATCATTGAAGCTGTATCACTTGCAGGAATCCGTCGGGCTTCTCTCTTTGGCATGGGATATGCTAATGGCTCACCGTAATCCTTAGGTCGGCTTCTAGGTTTGAACATGAGTACATGCGCTCTTGAACCTTTGATGGAATCATGCCTTTCTGATTTCATGATCTCTGTCATTGTGCCGGCTACAATCACATTGCTGACACCAACATTATATTCTGCAGCTTCGGGTCGCAAAGCCGCCCCCAAGGCCATCACTGCACTCTTAGCTGATGTGTAAGGCCCATGCAATGTGAACCAGTTTGGAACCATCCCTGCTTGCGAGCCCACAAGCACTATATGACCGGATTGTTTTGCAATTAGATCACTGGAGATCATTTGTTAATCGAGCCTGCTGGGCGGAATGGAAATGTAGCTTACGGGTAGAATAATTGAATGCAGTAAGCAGTCCCGTACAGGACAACGTCGTAGACCCAAGCCCAGTCTTGCTCGTGATGCTGATCGTAAGGGCCACTTGTGGTCACTCCAGCATTACAGACTAGCAAGTCTGCAGACCCGAAAGCTTTTTTCACTGTTTCGTATAAATTCACGACAGAATCTCGTTTCGAGACGTCAGTGTTTACCGTGAGAACATCTTTTGCTCCTGCTCTCTTGATTTCTTCAGCCGCAGCTTGCAGTTTTTCGTTGTTCGTGGAAGCAATAACGACTTTCATTCCCTTCTGTGCAAGCTGGATCGCGAGTGCTTTGCCAATACCACTGCCTCCACCAGTAATTACAGCAACTTTACCTGCAAGATTCTTCATCCTGTCAAATCAAAAATATATTCACAACTCAGAACGATGTCAATAGTTTTGTTTGCTAGGCACCTCTGTAGGATATCAACTGGCATAATCGAGTCTTGGGACATAGGTGATAAATACGTCTCGTTTGAAGCAGCATAGAGTCTTGTATTTCCGGGATGCTATCCTAGCTAGTGAAGCACAGTGACTGGAGGATTCATTTACCGTGCAAGGTGCGTTCTGGGTTGACGTCTTCCCCCGCATACCGGTTTTTGTTAAGGAGAATCTTACCCGACGTACATCAGGAGCCGAATTCGGTAACTTTTAAGCACACATTGCAATAGTAGCAAAGGATGATTGTCTAAACTATTCAAATTACAATTCGCCATTAAGCATCGATAAAACATTTTATACACACTCCGAAGCGTCTCATAGCCTTTTCTATCAAGCAGTATGGCTCATAACGAACATATCAAGGGCCCCGGATTACTTTACGTCACTTCTAAAATTTCAAGGACAGACATTATGGACTATGATACGTATATGAAATGGTATGACGAGGATCATATTGCCGAGATTATCGAAACCAGTGGTATCAAAAGCGCATATCGATACATCGACATCGACAAGAATGCATCGAAACCATACCTCGCATTCTATCCAATGGAGGAGCTCGGCTTTACTCTCGGAGCCGAGTTCAGAAACATTCGAGTCAAAAGTGACTTGCTTCCTGGCACAGGCATATGCTATGACCTCGCAGATATTGACGTGAGATATGTTGGATTGCTTGGACAACGTGGAACAAGAAGCGGGGTTGCAAAATACCTCCTTAGCACTGCGATGGAGCCAAGTCAAAATATTGCGGATGCAGCAGCTGAGAAATGGCTTGACAACGTGAGTTTCTTTAATTTGTTAATTTTTCTTTAATTTTATTTTATTTTATTCTTATTTTTTGGGTGTTTGAAATATTTTGCTCACATTATGACAGACTCAGGTGTTGGCGTCCAAGATTCCCGGATATTGTCGGACCACATATTATCGTTTGCTATATGCCAGGACGAATGCTCAATCACGAGCACTGAAAGGTCTGCCAACCATTGATGAGCCCACCCCCGAACCACCAACATGGCAAGCCATTCATGAGTTCAGCGAACCAATAGATGCTTCTGTTTTTGATAACATCAAAAATGAAGAGGAGTCCAGGGCTATTCTGGCAGATGCCAAGCAGGTAGAGCTGAGGATATTTGAACTTAGGAAAGCACATGGAGCTAAAAAGTTCTTTGACTGAGAATATCTCATTAGTATTATAATAAAAACTATTCTTCAAAGCTTAATTTTGTCTTAACTACAGCTTTCAACCTTAAATTAGCCGCTCGCTCCATCGTCTTCCACAGTTTATAAGTTAAACGACTAAATTTGTTTACTAGACGTGAAATATTTATGATAATAATTATTTAATTATTATTTAAGTTCTTGGGCTACTACAATCAATGCCGTATTCTAATCTAAAATCGGGTGAATAGAGGAATACCCCCTTTCTCGGACATGTACTTCAGCGCTTGCGAACTATTTAAAAAATTTATTCAGCTTCCATAATATTAAAACCTTTCTAATTATACAAAATCATCCTGTTGCCATCATCGGAACTTCGAATCCGCTCATTTAAGCCTATTCCAAAATAAGAACTAGAAAGAAGTTCCTGCAGCTCTGCTCTCACGGATATCTAACATCCCTCAGGATAATCAATTATACGAGAAGCCGAATCCAGACGATTTGCCACGTCGACACAGGCTACAATAGTAGACAAGAACACAACGCTACCTGATATAACTATAAGTCTTTGGGGTTTTGCGAATGCACATTATCCCCGTTTTATATCATTCTTGTGCACTTGCTTCGCTCATAGGACATAGGCGTGTGAAGGGTCTTAAGTCATAGTAATTATGTCATCAGTTGAATCTTTGAACCTTTTCAATGTCAATGGAATGGTGTTTGTTGTTTCCGGCGGCGGAACTGGTAAGTCAGATGCAACAGTTGAGTATATTAAAATTATTAATATCCTTCAGGCATTGGAGAAATGATGGCCAGATCATTAGATGCTAATGGTGCCGCGAAGGTTTTCATAATTGGTCGAAGAGCTGAAAAGCTCCATGAGGTTGCATCGCTGGCCATCAACAAAAATATCATACCCATTCAGGGGGACATATCTTCCAAAGAATCCCTATCAAGCTGTGTCGCAAAAATAAAAACTGAAACGGAATTTGTGAATTGTGTGATAGCAAATCACGGCGCACAAGGACCAACGCTGAATGAGCTGCCCAAAGATCGAACGCCATCGCTTGATGAAATGTATCGACACTTATGGAAACCATCTATGGAGGACTTTAATCAGGCATTTGAAGTCAATACAACTGGCGCTTTCTATATGATGGTCGCATTTCTGCCATTGCTCGATGCAGGAAATAAGCATAGGCTGTCACCGACTCTTGAAACAGGAGTGAAGAGCCAATTTATTATCACCGGCTCGATTAGTGGATTCAGTCGGCGTCCTGGGATGGGATTTGCATATTCTGCATCAAAAGCTGGAGCAATTGTGAGTGTCTATATTCTCATCACGTGCCTTAACTAACAAGAATCAGTTGATGATGAAGCAGATCTCAACGATGATGGTGCCCTACGAAATTCGATGTAATGTTTTCAATCCTGGAATATACCCCTCTGATATGAGCAATGTTTGTGAATTTGATTCATTCTGAATAAATGACGCTAATTCGAGACCAAGGCGTTCTTAGCAGGGAAAGACTGCTCGACGTTCGGTTCGATATCATCGTCTATTGTTCCTTTGACGCGTATAGGTACCATTGAGGTAATGCCGAAGCTCTAAAGTAAAGTATGAATACTGATCAACAAAAGGATGTTGCTGGCTCTATTCTTTTCCTTTGTAGCAGGGCTGGAGCATATATCAATGGAATGTGTCTAAACAGCGATGGTGGAAGACTCGGCGTTGTTCCTGCAACGTATTAACTTCTGATATCGAGTAAAATTTCTAAAGACGTCTATTCGCCATCAACTTCTCAAAGCTGCATGAACAAATCTCTATTACATTAGCCCACAACAGAGAGCGTGCATTCCTTCTCACCATCCTTGATTGACGCAGAAACAATGGTTTCACTGATTTTCTTCCCACCTGCCTCTATAACCTTGCCGCATAGATTCTCTGGGTCTGAATCGGTAATAGCATCGTGAAATACCCCTCTTCTGGTGTAGTTGAATGAGCTTTGCTCGCTCATGGGTAGATCAATGAATTCGAAAAGCTCAAAAATGACTCCATTGCCTTAATTGAGAATTGAGACCTTGAAGCTTTGTGGCCGTCCGTCATATATGCGGAAGACTGGGGCACCAAGGTTCTCCAACCATATCGCCATGTGATTAACTCGATTTATGACTACTATGATAATTGTGTATAGAACTTGAGATTCTCTTTTCAATGTCAATATTTTCCTTAAGGTAGATGAAAAATCCCCACATCTATGTCCAAATATTTCAATGGATATCAATTCCGGGCCTTCATCCATTATTGTATGGAAGGGAAGGCACATTACCAAACTTATGCGGACAGGGCTAGACACACGCGTGGGCCTTTGTGAGGAGAATCAAGCTTTTACAAAATTTAATTAAACCTTTTCAGTTTGTTAGAATGTGAAGTATGAGAATTTGTGGCACTGTAGATAGTATATCACACCCTCGTATAATGATTTCCGGATGCGCTGTTTGCAAACACGGAGCTTCGGCTTGCCACCCGGTACATGCATTTCCGGTAGCTGCGATTTCCTTCCTAAAACGAGTCTCAGCCATTAAGCATATTAGTAATGGTTTTGCTTAAAAGCTCATAAGCGATTTGCAGAGCCAAGTTGCATTGCCATCGCGCTTCGGAAGAAATCACAGCTTGACGCCATGGCCCCAAATTTCGACCTCAGGGATCGTGTAGTTGTCATTACCGGTGGTTCTGGAGGCATTGGCTTCGCGACAGCTCAACTCCTCCTCTCACAAGGTGCAAAAGTCTCAATAGCAGATGTTTCAGATGCTGCACTAAGAAAAGCTGTTGCCATGCTTGAAGGCGAGCAGCATCCAGGTCAACTCTATTCCCAAGTCGTAGATGTGAGGAAACCCGATGAAGTCAACGATTGGATCAAGAAAACAGTGAAAAAATTTGGAAAGCTTGATGGCGCATGCAACCTTGCTGGTGTCATTCCAAAAGGGATCAACAAGGACACGATTGAAACTATGCCGGACGACGAGTGGCACTTTGTGATTGATGTAAATCTACATGGAGGTAACTTAGCATCTTTTTTCCAGCAAGAATATAGAGCGATGGACTGATCGTATCAAGTCATGCACTGCATGAGGGCCCAAATTCAAAATATGAACAACGAGGGTTCAATCGTCAATGCAAGCTCAATAGCTGGAATAATGGGATTCCCAAAAAATGCGGCTTACACGGCCTCGAAACACGGTAAGGCCAACCCATCATGGAACACTCGAGTTCCGTTTTCAAGCTGATGGCTGACACAGCTGTCATTGGTCTCTCTCGATCTGCCGCAAAAGAGGTTGGTGATCGTTTTATTAGGGTAAATTGTATATCGCCGTGAGTAAGTTCGGCTCAATCATCTTGCATATACTTACCCTTGCAGTGGAATAATTGATACTCCAATGCACCAAGCATCTAATAAGTCGAGAGGTGGCGATCCTTCACAACTAAGATGGCAAATTGCACGCAAAGGAAAGGCAGAAGAAGTTGCTGCCCTTATCAATTGGCTATTATCACCGTATTCTAAATATATAACTGGATCAATCCAAACCATTGATGGTGGCTGGACTTCCTAGTTTATACTAAGTATCCTATTTGAGCTTATTATCATAGTGAATATATTGGTCTAAATTCTCATATTAAATATTTCGACTGTTATTATGTTTTGCTTTAATTTCTGCTTTTCTCTTCATGATAGTTAAAGTGTTGTTAGGAATACTTTCCCAATACCAACTAGCTTCACTAATGTGAATCACTTCGGAAGGGATGAGCTTCCTAGAGCAAGGGAACAATGTATAACTAAGTCTTATTATAGAAGGAAGTATAACTAGAGCTTATTATGGAAGGAATATAATAAGATAGTTATATTTATAACTTAGAATAGTCTAAGCTTTAAGAGTATAGAAATATATTCAAATTAACTACTAGATAAACTAGATAGTTAAATTACAGAGAGCCGTAGCGAAGGCAAGACAAGATATATTTATAGATATATGAAATCTAGCGCTTATTCTAATTATGAATAATTAAACTGATCGCAGACTGCATTCCTGATTCGTCCAATCTACCCAGGCGAATCACAACCTTTCACTTATGTAAACCGATCACCTTGATCATGAATGATTAACATGATCGTTTTCCTTTCATGTGATTCCCATGTTACTTCGTAACAATACTAATATGGACGCATTAAGCAGAAGAACTGACTATAATAAGGGAATAGAGATTAAACATACTCTTATAGTAAGAAGGAGACTCTATAATATATTAAGTGGTATTTCTAATTAAAATTAATATACCTGAGATTCAGAGGATTTAAGCTGAATAATTAAAAAAGGACTTTATTAAATAATATATGGACTACGATGATAAACTACAGGTCTATATATATAAAGGGAAAATTATATTACCTCTAAATCTTAAGAAGGAATAGACACTTAAATATTATAAACTATCCTTATAAGGATATACTAAAGTAGAAGAAGTTTTAGAAAGATTATAATAAAATTATTACTTTCCTAGGATATAATAAAAAATCTTTACTTAGATTAGGACCTATTATTTATATAAGAAAGCTAAATATAAATAATATAAACCTTATAGATTACTCTAACTAAACTAAGTACTAGAAAAATCCTGGTAAGAAGTATTAATAGACTTTATTAGACCCTTACTACCTTCTAAAGATAAAAATAATATAGAATATAAAAATATTATAGTTACTATTAATTAGTTAACTAAGTATATAATATTTATCCTGATTCCTTAATAATTTACTATTTCTTACTTAGCGAAAGTCTTTTTAAAAGAAATAGGGAGATTTAATATATTAGAAAAGATTATTTCTAACTAAGATAAAATATTTATATCTTATTTTTAGAAGGAATTATACTAAGTATTATAGATAACCTAAGGAATATTAATAGTATATTATCCATAAAGTAATAGCTAGACTAAATAAGTAAATTAAATACTGGAATAATACCTATAAATATATATTAATAATAAATAAAATAATTAGACATAGCTTTTACTATAAATAATACTAATATATAATATAATTAAATAAAGTATTATAAGAATATTACTATATTATATAAACTTTAGGAAGGAACTAAGACTAATAGTTAATATATTAGTATACTTACCTATAGAAGTATGTTAGGAATACTTTCCCAGTACCGACTAGCTTCACTAATATAAGCTACTTCGGAAGGGGTTAGCTTCCTAGAGCAAAGGAACAATGTATAACCAGAGCTTATTATGGAAGGAATATAATAAGATAGTTATATTTATAACTTAGAATAGTATAAGCTTTAAGAGTATAAGAAAATATTTAAACTAACTACTAGGTAAACTAGATAGTTAAATCATGAAGAAGTGCAATATCGGTAGAAATAGGATACTTATATAGATCTTATTCTTAATATCCTTATTACCTTACTTACTGCAATTATTTTGATCATTTTTAAGTAAAATAATCGCTTCCATTAATTAGTAATACCCTAATCACCAACTATTAGCTGATATACTTATTCTGCTTATTATTAAGCAGAATAATTATAATTATTCCTTATATGACTGCTTATATGTTACTCTATAACACTATATGACTGCTTATATATTACTCTGTAACACCATTCCCCTCCTTAGTAAGCTTATCCTAAGCTTTAGTATTTAAGGGGTTTAAAAACTACTAAGAGGAAAATAAAGATATCTTCAAATTCTTCTCTTTACCATAAATATCTTACTTCTGAATTTAAGGAGTCTGGAAATATCATTATCCTTAGTTATAAATATTATTTAATTTATAGCCTAACTTATATTATTATATCTTCTTTAAAGAATATTAAATATATAAATTATATTTATAAGGGTATAAAGTATATTAATATATTATAGAAAGTTCTTAATAAAATTAGAGAGGAAGCTAAATCAGCTATAGAAAAGAATATTAAAGAGTTATCTAAGCTAAATATTATATAATAGAAACTTCTAGCTTAACTCTCCTAAAATCAGAAAATTTTAAAGATAGCTAAGGGTTATATAAAGATAAAAGTAATTTATTTAATAGATAAACTGGAAGAAGAGGAAAAAATAGAATAAGTAAGAAATAGTAGTTATTCTAATAGTAAATTATATAAATTTATAAATAATTTTACTATTTTTAATTAAGTTATTAGAAATTAAGAGGTTTTAAGTATATTAGATTTTTATAATAGTATTATAATAACTTAAATAGATAATTAAGGTTTTTATATAGTTCCTAAGTATTTTCTTCTAATAGGTAACCTTTCTACTTTATAAGATAAAAATATTAATATTATCTAACTTAATAATTTAAAATCTTTTTAACCTTATACTCTAGCTTAATAGGGTCTTCTAATTTAGTTTTTTTATTAAGGGGAGTTTCTAGATCCATTTTTTCTAATAGGGAAATATAAAAAATAAGATATATTTTTATATTCTTAGATAATTATAACTTATAATTTACTAGTCCTATAATCCTCTTAATTTTAAATAATTTAATTTTTAAAAAATTAAATTTATTATTTTAGTATTTAGTATAAATATTTTACTACTAAAGGTAGACTTTATCCCCTTCCTTAAGGTCTGGTTCTTTAAACCTTTTTTAATTTACTTAAAGGATTATCCTTTAATTTAAGAATATAATATTAGATTATAGTTAAGTATAAAATAATTATAGATCCTCTATAAATAGTATTACTTCTATAGGTAGGTATATTAATATATTAATTATTAATCTTAGTTTCTTTCTAAAGTTTATATAGTATAGTAATATTCCTATAGTACTTTATTTAGTTATATTATATATTAGTATTATTTATAATAAAAGCTATATTTAATTATTTTATTTATTATTAATATATATTTATAGATATTATTCCAGTATTTAGTTTACTTATTTAGTTTAGCTATTATTTTATAGATAATATACTATTAATATTTCCTAGATTATCTATAATATTTAGTATAATTCCTTTTAGAAATATAATATAAATATTTTATCTTAGTTAGAGATAATCTTTTTTAGTATATTAAATCTCTCTATTTCTTTTAAAAAAACTTTTGCTAAATAAGAAGCAGTAAATTATTAAGGAATTAGGATAAATATTATATATTTAATTAACTAATTAATAGTAATTATAATATTTTTATATTTTATATTATTTTTATCCTTAAAATATAATAAGGGTCTAATAAAGTCTATTAATACTTCTTACCAGGATTTTTCTAGTACTTGGTTTAGTTAAAGTAATCTATAAGGTTTATATTATTTATACTTAGCCTTCTTATATAAATAGTAGATCTTAATTTAAGTAAAGACTTTTTATTATATTTTAGGAAAGTAATAATTTTGCTATAGTCTTTCTAAAACTTCTTCTACTTTTATATGTCCTTATAAGGGTGGTTTATAATACCTAAATATCTATTCTTTCTTAAGGTTTAAAGGTAATATAATTTTTCCTTTATATATATAGACTTATAGTTTATTATTATAATCCATATATTATTTATTAAAGTCCTTTTTGGATTATTCAGTCTAAATCCTTTAAATCTCAGGTATATTGTGAGGGGTGAATGTAAGCGTGATATCAGGATAGGGAGCAATAAGTATAGATTAGTATTAAAACTGATGATTAAGGAGTTAAACTAAGGTGGATACTATATATAGCTTAAATACTACTTCCCCCTGGAGTATGTGATCTGCGGTCTAAGCGCAGCCATACTATATATATATTCCTACTCCATTCCTTATAACTCTTCCCCCCCTTCTATAGTCTGGTCCCCAGACTTGCTAAAATTATATTCCTCTACTAGTATAGTATTATATTAGATGCGTTCTATCTATTACTTCCACTATTTATTATTATTATTATATCTTAATATTATTCTATATATATTATTATGTTTATCTCTATTACATAATAATAATATTATAGTTTTAATACTTAATAAAGATATAAATTCTTCTATATTCTAAAATTTGTTTTTCTACTATTTATATATATATATATATATATATACATACAAACATATACACATACATATATATATATATATAATAAAATAGTATCTTTATGATGGTCAGCTATTCATTCACCAGGGGCGAGATGGGGTCCATTGATGCCTCGCTCCTCAGATATAGGTTATAGGTATTTCTTATCTTATTTCCTAACTCCTCCTTTACTAATACCCGCGCTACTATTATTAAGTTCTTAGCATAGTAAGGCAAGTTCTGGGTATGGGCATGCTCCCTGCCCTCACTCCTTATCTTCTTATTCCCTAACCCCTATACTATTATTATCGGTATCCTAGTATAGTATAGTAAATTTAAGGCGCCAGTATTATAATAGTAGTATTAAGGTATTAAAGCCCCCTAGTTACTATTACTAGGTTATTTTTAAGGTAATAGGGTTATCATCTCCTTAAGGTAAGGGTGAAACCCTACCTTAGCTAGGGGAGGGGGATAAGGCGGAGGTGGACATTTTTATCTACCTCTGATACAGTAAGGATATTAATCTTATCCTTATATATAATATACCTATATTTTAGAAGTATACTAGGTGCTCATGCTAGTATTATAAGTGTAAAGAGGTTTA